AAAAAAAAAAAAAAAAACAAACTTACAATAAGATAAAATTATCATGTTAAAAATAAAACCAGTTTTTATGTGAAAATGTTGCATATTTACAAAAGATAATTTTATCTTAAAATGGAAAAAAATTCAAGTGAAATGTATTCCACAACCAACTAATGTGCAAAGTTGTGTTCCAAAAACTTTTGTTTTAACCCTCAAATCACCAGGAAACCCTAGCGGTTGTTAAGTGAACTAATTTCAATATTGACGATGCCTTTGTTTGTTGTTTTTTTGTGCAAAAATCTATAAGCAATTTGGGGAATAAATAGTTAAGAAAACTAAAATGTATTTAAAAAGCATATGACGTCCATGTGGATTCCACTGGTAAGTTTAGGGTTAAGTACGCAATTTTTTAATCTGGTTAGAGGAGTTATGGCATGCACCAAGTTTGCAGTTCCACCCCCCGTGTGTACTCTGTATTTTTAACAACCCTTTGGAGTGGTTTGTTTTGAATTTCGCGCAAAGCTACACGAGGGCTATCTGCGCTAGCCGTCCCTAATTTAGCAGTGAAAGACTAGAGATAAGACAGCTAGTCATCACCACCCACCACCAACTCTTGGGATACTCTTTTAACAACGAATAATGTGATTGACCGTCACATTATAACGTCCCCACGGCTGAAAGAACAAGCATACTTGGTGGGACGAGGATTCGAATCCGCAACCCTCACATTGCGAGTCGAGCGCCCTAACCATCTGGCCAGGCCGGAATTATTGGTCAACAACGGAGAGTTTTAATTAGATATTAGGATATAAAGGGTAGAAAGAACCCAAACATAGCCCCCCCCCCCCCCAACAGTTGTTCGATTTACCAAATCAAGGCTTCTGATAATCAACTGTTGTATAGGGGATAATTTCATAGAAGCCTTCTTTGTTTTTGTTCCCACTGAAATATCTGTAGTGGGTCCAAATATAACCGTTATTTATCTATGTTCTAATGCTCTGGTTACAGCATCAAGAATCTTTATCACAATTATCAGATCATTTAGTTAAATTGGTATGAAATTTCACCCAGGTCTTCGCTGGTAGTGATCTCCATTAAGATTATACAAAAATAAAAGGTATATAGACACACATATATATACCATGCAGTGGTAATACTAGTGTACAGACAATTAAAACTAGGGTGCAAGCCAAGATTGGGGATGAAATTCTTCCGGTACTCAGTATCGGTATTTATTTGGTCTGCTTTTCATCCAACCCGCATGCTTTCCATCGTACTGTCAGAAAGCAGTCATGCCACGACTCACAGAATCTAAACAGTCATTAAATATTCTAGCAATGAACCAAGAAATGACTTAACGACATTAGTTCCTCTTGGCAACAAGATCACGAGGACAAGTTACCTCTTGGCAACAAAATCACGAGGACAAGTTACCTCTTGGCAACAAGATCACGAGAAAAAGTTCCTCTTGGCAACAAGATCACGAGGACAAGTTACCTCTTGGCAACAAGATCACGAGAAAAAGTTACATCTTGGGAACAAGATCACGAGAAAAAGTTACCTCTTGGGAACAAGATCACGAGAAAAAGTTCCTCTTGGCAACAAGATCACGAGGACAAGTTACCTCTTGGCGACAAGATCACGAGGACAAGTTACCTCTTGGCGACAAGATCACGAGGACAAGTTACATCTTGGCAACAAGATCACGAGGACAAGTTACATCTTAGCAACGAAATCACGAGGATAAGTTATTTAGCAGCTGCAATGTCAGTCATTATTAAACCACTCAGTAGACTCATCTGGCTGTGTGGTTTGTACGATTGGCCAATAAAGATAAATATATCCAAATGACACGTCTTATTGGCTGATGCGCTGACATCGATATTAGCCCGCAAATATATTTTGTCATTCAGCGGACGCAACCCCCATCTACAACAACAACAATACACATCTGAGTTGACTTTACGAAATTCTTAATTTACTTCTTTGCTTAATATATATTTATATCTTTAAAACCATCAAAACAATGGTTGAATTTAATTTATTTATCTTTTTTTCTAACAAATACCTTTGTTGTACGAATTTCCCACACTCAACCATTGACATTTTCCATAAACGTACGTCTTGTACGTGCAATACCATTTGCTTTCAACATACACAGACCGCTATGTGGATGAAAAAAAATGAATTGGTGGGTTGACAGACGGGCGGAAACACCATAAAATTGATGGCAAATTTAATTGGGGACTTTTGGAATTGGTCTCGTATTCTCAATTCAATCACTCGTGCACACACATAATAAGTTACATATAAATTCTACCACAGAGATCCTATAAATTGCATTACATATATTATCAGTAACATTTCAACAAAAGCAAGTGAAAGCTATGTATTTTTAATGGTGTTCACAGTTTGTGTGTGTGTGTGATGGTAATAACGAAGAGAATAGTCGTTCTTTATTAACCCTCATACTGCTAAATAGAAGACAGATTATCATTAGGATTTATTTTCGTTTTGGTGTATTTTTTTAAACAAATGTATGCTGAGAACAATATCAGGAAATTAATAAGAATACTGTTATACACGTGTTCTCAATCCACGTTTTTTAAAACAGGGACTTTTTAACTGATAGTAATAACTTGTTAGAATACTGTTAAACACGTGTTCCCAATCCACGTTTTTTAAAACAGGGAATTTTAAACTGATAGTAATAACTTATTAGAATACTGTTAACACGTGCTCTCAGTCCGCTTAAAAAAAAAACAACAACAGAGAATAATGAGCTGATAGTAATTCAATAGCACTCTATAAATGTGTTATCAGTCCAAGTATTTTTTTAAAGCCAAAAATGAATAAACAAACTAAAAAAAAATAATTCAACTGCTTCTGATTAGCTGATTCGGTGCTGTTTCCGATGGTTACGTTTTCAAACGTCGAACACGATCGTTGCGGTCAATATTGTATAACTGACACTAGGTTTTGGTTTCTTTTAACGTTTAGTCCAGAAAATATGAAAAGAGAAAAACAGGGGTCAAGTAGTATCTTACCTCTGACGTCTAAGTCGTTCACTCATCTGTCTTCGTGCCTAAAAGAAACATTTAAGATTCTATTAGAACTTTCTTCATTAAATAATACACTACATACTAATTAAGGGAAAAAAAACGTTTCGTAGTCGGATTTACACTAAAATGTTTTTCAAACCGAACTTAAAAATACGAACGAATTCAAATTAGTTTTAGGGGCTTAAAATATTTCCCCTCGGTGGCTCAGAGGTAAGCTTATAATGCTAAATATCGGGACTCGATACCCGAGATGAGAACAGCGCAGATAGTTCATTGTATAGCACAAAGAAATAAACCAATTGAAATACTTTAATCTGCATGATATCTTTGTAATAAGAGAATTAAAAGATAAATAAAACTCCATAGACATAAAGAATTAGGCTCACTGCCAGTAAAAATAAACTAATTTGTATACTGAGGCTCTTATTTTTATTTTTTTTTGTTGTTCACCCTGGGATCGCTTGTTTGTCAACATACAGTTTTTTTATCGTTCTGTGATTTCACCTAATTCCCATAAGCCTAAACTATTCCGCTTTAATGATACTTTTGTTTACGAAAATAAGGGTTAGAAATAATTTCAATTTTCCTCTATTGGAAGTTATTCTTTTTTTTAAACATTATGACGTAATGTAGGATAACTATAAGGGTAATTCAAATAACGTTTCAGCAAGGAGGGGAGTTGTGGCATGTGACTAGAAGGTAGTTCGTGTTTTCGTGTAACAAGCAAAGGAATTCGTATAAGTTTCAGAGAAGGGGATACGTGCATGTAATTAGTAACGTAATTCGTGTAATATTTCAAAGATGGGGATGTAACTAGCAGGGTAGTTCGTGTAATATTTCAAAGATAGGGGATGTAACTAGCAGGGTAATTCGTATAATATTTCAAAGATGGGGGATGTAACTAGCAGGGTAATTGGTGTAATATTTCAAAGATGGGGGATGTAACTAGCAGGGTAATTCGTGTAATATTTCAAAGATGGGGGATGTAACTAGCAGAGTAATTCGTATAATATTTGAAAGATGGGGATGTAACTAGCAGGATAATTGGTGTAATATTTCAAAGACGGGGGATGTAACTAGCAGGGTAGTTCGTGTAATATTTCAAAGATGGGGGATGTAACTAGCAGGGTAATTGGTGTAATATTTCAAAGACGGGGGATGTATGGCTAGCGCAAATAGCCCTCGTGTGGCTTTGCGCGAAATTCAAAAAACAACCAAACAAGCGTTTCTATACGCCATGTGCAACGTTTTTGATTTAAATATTAATCCACGCAGAAATATCTATCTTCTAAAGGCACTTGAGGTTATTTTGTGACTCATCTATTATTTCTTAGTACAGTGGATTATTTTATTCATCGTATTTTATAGTTTTATGACATAATTTAAAAACAACAGCACGCGAAATCTGAACAAACCAAAAACAATTTTCTGTTAAGTTACAGAACACGGTTTTCTTTAGAGAGTCCTAAACACCAATTATTGAAAAACAAAAGTGACACGTGGTTTGTTCGCTAGTCCAAGGATACGCATCTGTGTTGCATCGACTATCCTCCAGAGGGAGTTCTATGAATTTTAAAGTCATATATATATTGGTAAGAGGGATGATGTCAGCATGCGCTTTTCACCCACGTTTCTTGACATTTATTTTTTCGTCTTCCGAAAATCGACCACACCGTGGCATGTCTGCGGACTTACAACGCTAGAAACAGGGTTTCGATATCCGTGGTGGGCAGAGCACAGATAGCCCATCGTGTAGCTTTGTGCTTAACTTCAAAACAAACTTTCGAAAGTATTTATATACATATAATTCAAACTACACTGTCTTCCACAATCCGATCTTCTGTAGAAGCATGTCAAAAGAAGTTTTCACGTTGAAGTCAACAGACTGAGTTTAGCCTAATTCAAGCACGTGTTTATAAATATTAATTCCCACATTAAACCAAACTTCAAACTTAATAGTAATCGGAGAAATGTCAAATGATTTTACTATACAAATTAATCAAACGTGTATACGAGAAAAATAGTTGAAGTTCAGTGAATTAATTGTCAGATACAGTAGCTTGTTTTTATAAGGGGTGCGTAGTAGTCGATATGATACGTATCTGGATACAGAAGTTTTACCAACAATTTGTTATGTAAGTTTGTCTGTAATCTATTATCTATATTACTAACACTGTCTTATTTAAGTACTTCAGACTTTACAGTGATTTTTTTCAAATTCCCAAGTTTGTTTGTAATCAAGCACAAAGCAACACAATGGGCTATCT